TCCTCGAAACTTGAGCTTCGCAGTAGATAACGTCTCAGCTCCGAGCGAATAAACCCCTCCTTGCAATGCCGCGGGTGAAATGACGAAAATGGTAAGTAGAGATAGGTGTTGTTCGGCTTCTGGTAAGTAGCGAAATCCAGTAAACCGGTGCTTCTGTAGCGCTGCCCTTTGCGGACGACTATGTCAAGGAAATCTACAGAAATTTCCGAGACGGTCCAGGTGAGCTTAATGGACGGTCGAAGCGTATTGAAAGTAGCGAGGTACTCCTCAAGCCCTTCCTTACTCCCTTCCCAGCAGATGAAGCCGTCATCTATGTACCGGAGATGAAGCAGAGGAAGTTTGTTCCCCATACGCGCTCGTAACAGCTCGTCCAGTCTGCTCATGTAGAGGATAGCGAAGCAAACAGCCACCGAGGTTCCCATTGCCGTTCCCTGTATTTGCCGAAACAGTCTCCCGTTAAAATCCACGTACGAATTGAACATCACCCATTCCAGCAACGCCATAATGACAGGTGCGTTCGGGAAGTGCAGAGGGTCGCGTTCTAAAAAGGATCTGACGACATCGACACCCTCCCGAAGAGGAATTGAAGGGTAGAGCGCCTGAACATCATAAGTAGCGAGCAGGAGATTGTTTTTCGGGAACGGGGTCTTCTCCAAATGAAGAAGCAGCGACAAAGAATCTCTCAGGTATGTAGGCTGCCGGAGTACCAAAGGTCGTAAAGCTGTATCAAGCCAGCGACTAACATTCGCGGTCACCCAGGAATGTGACGCGGCGATGGGCCTTTCATGATGACGTAAAAAATGGCGGGTTTCCAGCCGTTAACCGGTGGGTGTTGAAAGAAATTCCAGAGATACTTAGGCAGCAGCGGTTCGAAATTGAAACGGATGTCTGACAGCTTGGCTAAGACCGTGATTCGAGGATCTTCAAAATCAGGGTCTGACGTCGAAACTTCCTTGAAAGTACTCCTGTCCAGAAGGTGGTTAAAACACTCGGTAATGTATGAAGATCTATCCATCAGAGTGATCCCTAAATTCTTGTCAGCCGGCTTGATGATTAGGTCGGTGTTGGAAGAGAGCTCAGAAATGGCCTTGTAGTAACCTTTGGGAAGGAAAGGCCCTTTGCGAACAATTGGTCGAGAAAAAAACAAAGATAAATCTTTCCTTGTCTCCTCGAACACTGCTTCCAGCTGCTCGTCCTTTTCAGGTAGCCAGTCAGGATTGCTGACGCGGAAACGGCTGTCGGAACGGCCTTCTCCTTTAAAGAATTCCTGGAGTCTAATTGACCTGAACAGGTTCGTAAAATCTTTAGTGATGTCAGAGGAAGAAAAAGGAGGTGAGTGCGGCAACACAAACTTAAGCCCGAGTCCAAGAACATTGCGTTCAGCAGGAGTCAAGGTATGAGAGCTCAAATTGTGAATTCCGTGGTTGGTGATGCGAGTCTTAGCCTGGGACTCTGTCATCCTACCAAACCACCGGAGTGCTAGTTCTTGGCTGCTTAGTTGTGCTGACCCCTTGCGGGGCCTCCTCCGTTTTTTGGCCGATGCGGGTACCATCTCTTATTCTTCTTCTTCTTATCCCTCTGATCACCTGCAGGTTGCTGCTGCTGCTGCTGCTGCTGCTGCTGGTTCTGCTGCTGAGGCTGCTTTGGCGCCTTCTGCTGCTGTACCTGTTGCTGCTGCTGCTGCTGCTGCTGCTGCTGTCCCTGCTGCTGCTGCTGTTTCTGTGTGGAGGATGGCTGGTTAAGCAGTTCCAGTTTTTCAAGGCGTTGAAGCACCGCGGAGAGCTTTGAATCTACTACATCCTTGGCAACTTCTCGCATACTGGGCTCAGTCTCCATTTTCTGGAGCGCCTCCTGAGCTGCCTTCTTCACCATCTCCGCCTCGTTCTTTAACCGCTGATTCTCATGAAAGTCCATGAAGGCTTTAGTTTGCTGTATCTCGATAGCTTGATTAGCTTCCTGGATAAGTAGGACCTTGAAGTATTCCATGACCTCAACGGCTTTGTTGCGTCGTGGATCGTCCTCCATGGCTTTAATGCCATTAATATAAGTGGAGATTAACCCATCCAGGAGAGTAGCAGCACTGTTGGCTTCTGAAAAAGCCGTAGCCATAAGTTCTTCTTTAGCTTTAATGAAAACTTCTTGCTGGAGCTTGAGAGAATCATTATGCAAAGAAGAAATCTTGTCATCAGCGACTTTTTTTATTGCTTCATTGGAGGTCTGAAACTGGACAGCCTTGGTCCTGATACTGTGAAGTAATTCTCCTCGGCTGTTAATCATCTTCATTTTAGCAACCTGTTGCTTGAGGCTCAGAAAAGTGTTGTATGATTTGATGGCTTTAGAGATAGCTTCTTGTTGCCACTTCTTGAATGGAGGTGGACATAACTCGTGGCCAAAACTAGATCCAAGATCTTGTAGCATAGGGCCTGATTCCTGTCCTTGACCGCCATCTGGCGTTAAAGCCGCTTCCAGCGATCTCTGGGAGATATTCACTCCGTGGATCACATTAACACCTGCATTGTCTGCGTTAGAAGCCATAGCAGGTGACGCGGACGCTACTCTTTTTGGAGTTTTAAATCGTTGTCGTCGTAATGTCTTAGGATATGTGATGGAGTATGGAGGGAGAGGGGTGAGAGGAAGGGGGAAGTGAGTCTGCGTGCTTCTCAGATGTAGGCACGCCTGCACGACCGCGTTGAGGGGACCCGCGCGCTCGCCTGCTGCCATGCGCGCCGTGGCGATGGCTGGAGGGAGAGGAAGCAGAGGGGTGAGTGAGAGGAAACGGGCAGAGAGTGTGCGTGCTTCTCAGAGAGTGTGCGTGCTTCTCAGAGAGTGTGCGTGCTTCTCAGAGAGTGTGCGTGCTTCTCAGAGGTAGTAACGAGGTGGTGGAACGCCTGCGGGCTTACACGAAGGTCGACAGGCATTGTGCCTGTAAAAGACCCCCCCCCCTCGTTTGGGTAAAACACACAGAATGAAGAAACCCCTGGGAGGAGAGAGGAGCGACTCACCGCAGATGACGGCGAGGACGAGGAGCGGAAGCAGCGCGGCAGGAGAGGCGGCCATGGCAGTCAAGCTGCCACGTCAGGTGCGGTCGAGCTGCCACGTCAGGTGCGGTCGAGCTGCCACGTCAGGTGCGGTCGAGCTGCCACGTCAGGTACGGTCGAGCTGCCACGTCAGGTGCGGTCGAGCTGCCACTTCAGGTACGGTCGAGCTGCCACGTCAGGTGCGGTCGAGCTGCCACGTCAGGTGCGGTCGAGCTGCCACGTCAGGTGCGGTCGAGCTGCCACGTCAGGTGCGGTCGAGCTGCCACGTCAGGTGCGGTCGAGCTGCCACGTCAGGTGACTCTAATACGTCAGGTGCGGTAATTCTTGTGCAGCGCGCCGCTGCCACGTCAGGTGAGTCATGCGCAATGAGAAGCGCGATGAGTGGCGCAACGTCAGGGAAGATGGCTGCGAATTGATTGACGGTACCACGGGTTGCAACGGTACAGCTCGATGCTACTGGTACAGCTGATACATTCAGGTGCTACAGCTTGTGGTATAGCTGGAGGTATATGCGTTGTATAGCTGCTGGCGTTGCTGTCATAGGGCACGACGAAATGGCACAGAAGCGGCGGACTCGGAGGAAATGGTTCCATGGCTTTCTCTGGCGAGTGGTTTATAGACAAAGCTTGGAGGCTCGGCCAACGCAGGAGGCTGAGGGCGTGGAACATCTGCGCGTTCCGCGAGCGGTTCCGCAAGCAGTTCCGCGAGCAGTTCCGCCGATCCCCCAATCGCCCGAGGCCTAGTCCAGTAGGCGCTAGGAACGCGATCGGGTGGCGTGAATTCGGAGTTATTGATGCATTCGGGGGTTGCGAGCTGAAGTGTGAGCTTTTAGCTTCAAATCGCTATTTCTTGGCGTGCTGCATTGAGAAGGCCCGCGCAGGCCGGAACCAGGGCGACCGACTTAGCAGCAGTCGCCTACAGTGTCGCTCTGGATGTATAACGAAGCAATAGGATTCGAGCACAAATGAATTATTATTTCTGCTCTCCTCTGCTCTCCGCACACAAGTAAATTATTGCAATCCCGCCACTCGCATTTGCTCATCCCCTCCGGCGGAAAGTAAATTATTGCTGTCGCGCAAACGGAGGGAATGCGCGACACATGTGCTGTGCGACTGACGAGCGACACACCAAGAAGGAAAGCTCGTTTGGATGCGGATCAATCTCTCGGCTCACAGTTGTTCATTTCTTCGTAGGGGGTGACTTCTTGAAATCGCACGGCTCACATTGGCTCATCCCCCCTTCCAGCGGAGCGTGAATTTTCGGAACCACGCGGGCGGAGGGGATGCGCGCGGCACGTGCTGTGCGACGGACGACACTCGAAATGTGAAATACGTTTTCAATGTGGGTCAGTAAGCCGATATACTATCTATAGATTTCAGTTAGCATAACTCAAATATTTTCTTCTGCAAAAACAATCGTATTGACTACCCAAAATTATGGGATGACTGAAAACTGCCCCCTGGCATGGCAAGTCTCACCTGCAGGATTCTGGAGTGTGGTAGCTGTACATTCAACGTCAACATATTTAGTGCTCTCCCATGAAATTTACACCAACAAATACGGTATCTATACATTACACCAGATTAACCACAAAGAGACCTTATTGATGATGCATGCATCTTGCTCATGGAACAAAAAGTGATTCCCACTTATTCGGCCTCTTCAAGACCAGCAAAAACCCACTCCAAGACCATGCAGGCCTAGTAGGGAGTTACCTTAGCAGCCTGAAGGCTGCCGTACTGTCATCACTGTGGGCAGCCATGAAACGGCTCCTCACAAAGGGAATGAACAGGAAATAATCACCTCCATCCGATCAATACCGATAACCAGGGCAGCGCGCAGGGTTGCCCTTGAAAATGGAGGCCAGCAGCACAATTATCACTCCCGCAGCTCATGCGCGAAACACCATGATATTTTGAATGAATCCAATTTACGACGTAACGAGCAGAAGTCAACCGTCCATCACCACAGCGCCGGGTTACCAGCCAGGCTCGACAGGTCCACGTTAAAGCCATCAGTCCAAGCCTCCGACCATAGCGAAGCGAATCCGCCAGCCGGAGCAGACGGCGTGGGAGGGATGCCCGAGGGCGTCGGCGGAACAGCAGGCTCCCACGCGTTGGAACCCGGAACAGCGGCGGGAGTTGCCATGGAGTACATGTCTGCGAACATTGACGGAGCGGTAGCGGCGACGTTCGCGACGTCGACGAGAGGCGGAGCTGCCGGACGCTTCGGGATAGCTGGCGCTTCCTGCTGCGGCTGCGCCTGCAGCTGCTGAGGCTGCTCCTGTTGCTGCAGCGGCTGATACTGTTGTTGTTGTTGCTGCTGCTGCTGCTCACGTTGTTGCTGGTACTGCTGCTCCTGCTGCTGTAGTGGCTGCCTCTCCGCGGCTTGTGCCTGTGGCAGCTGCTGCTGCTGCGACGGCGCTGCTTCCTCCTCATCCACACCGAATTCCATAAGCAGCTCATCAATAAATAGCTTATCGTCCAATTTCTCGGCTTCCACGTCAGCAGTCTGATTCGTCACTGCAGGCTTCACCTCCAGAGGATCCGAGAAACTAAAAACCGGAATCTTAACCGTTGGAGGGGCGGGACGCGCTTTGGGACAGACAGACGAAACCATTTCGGCCTCCCACTGGAGAATTTCGGAGAGGCTGAGCTTCTTTTCGTGCTTGGCGTCATCCTGCTGCTGCATCTGGATGCGAAAGTCAAGCTGCTGAGCCATCTTGCTCCGCTCCCCCTGGGCAGGCTTTTCCGGGACGGATTCCGTCAGCTGATTCCGTCCCGGCGCTGGCGGCGGAACGACGTACTCTCCTCTTAACGACGACGCGACGGCTTTCACCCAGTCCGTAGCAGCATCGTGGAAATCGAAATTGACAGCTCCGTTGGGAGCGAAACGCGAAGGCGGCGGTGGGTGCTGAGAAGCGGTTACACACCCAGAAGAGTGAGCAGGCCGAGAAGAAAGCGAGGGATTCTGAGTAGGAAGCGTGTCATTCTGAGAATCTCGGCGCATCCCACGGTTGGTGGTGGTGCAGGCACGGACCAAACGGGGAGCATCCAACGGCTGACGAGCTGGCACAGATGTATTGGAGCGGACCAAAGGAGGCTCGGAACGATGCTCGGACCGAGGCATGAGAGTTGCCAGGTCCGGGAGAACGAGAAGCTTGGTGGAAGAGGTGGAAGTGGTAGGTGCTCCGGATGAGACAGGGAGGGTCCTTGGCTTGAGCCGAGGTGGCTCAGACTCGCACTGCTTTCTCTTTTTCAGATTCGGAATGGCAATGGGCTCTTGACATTCTGCAGGCCACCCGTTGGAGCCGAACCATTCCGATGGAGCTTCTTTCGTCTTAGCGGCTACTCTAAGCGCATCCATGAAGCTCATGCACGCCATACTGGCAGACTAGGAGTTAAGAGTGTCAGAGATTAAAGAGGTTATGTTCTGCTTCGGCTATGCTCTCTACTTGAAAGGGCCACGAGTTTAAATAGAACCGCGAGATGCGGTAATAAAAGAATTAAATAAATCCGAGAAATAAAAGCAGGAGGGAAGCGGAAGGATATCTGGAGGACTGCTGCATGAAACTCAGATGAAGCTGGCCGAGCTAGTGAATCCAGTGAAGATCGCTAAAGTAACAGGCAACGATAATCAAACCCTACTACAAGCCTCGAATGGTCGGCAGGGCTTCTCAACTGCATAGGCTTGGCAGGCAGGCAGGTCTCTTCGCTCGTCTAGCAAGTTGGTCGATTTCTAAAATGGCAATCTCAACGAGGGATGTGGGTGGGTAGAATTGTAAGTTGAGGTCGACGGAAACAGGAAACCTGCTGAAGCGGGGAGGTGAAGAAAACGGCGGAATGCTGAAGAAAGGATGCTGAGGAAAAGGTGGGTAGTAGGGGAAGACGAAACGAGAGGGGAGAACTGGAGGAAGGAATGGAGGGGGAGGGAGTGAGAAGAGCGGTCGTTGGAGCAAGGGGAGTAAAGCGAGGAGGGAGGAAAGGAGGAAAGGGCGGCAAGGCAAGTGGTTGGTTCGGGGGATTTCTCCCCCACTACGCGAGGAGGAGAGTGGTGCGGGACGGTTAGTGGGTGCGTGGGATATTCTCCGCGCGCTTCTTGCAGCATGATTCAGCGCAGTGAGGCCACACGATCAGGCGCGGGGACAGGGAGGTTGTGATGCGGTGCGGAGCCTAGGGTTTGCCGCGCATGCTTGAGGTTGTTTGCTGGTTGGTGGGGGCGCGGATACAGGGTGGAGGTAGGGGGAGACGAGTGGGCGAGGAGTGGTCGGGAGGAAAGGAGATGCGAGGGTGGGGGTTTTGGGCTAGTGGCTTTGGCTGACGAGACGGATGTCCTGGTCGAAAAAAAACGTTCGAGTAGATGGAACGGTACAGTGACAACACGCGTGCCTCGTCGGAGCTGCCCTGGAAAAATGAATTTTGCACAGAAGCGCTCATGTTCGGCCAACTCGTGGTTGGAAACGCTGAGGGTTTGTGAAACTGCCTCTCGAGCCTGTCACGAGCAGCTGCCTCGCTATTGATGGCGTTCGGTTACTGTTAAAACAAACAAAGGCGAATCACGTGATGTTTTTTCAGGTGCATTGTCAGGTAGTACAGTTGATGCACAAAACTTTGGATGATGCCCAATATGCCACACTCCGGTTCCTAAGACAATAAAAATATTTGTGGTGACCGAAATGGCTGGGGGAAGGGCTAGGGGCGGGTGCTGCCAATGGTGCTTTTGGTTGGTGAGGCGGGTGGTGGAGGAGAGGTGAGGCGGAGAACGTGAACTCGATCGTTCTTTTGGCGGCTGTTGTTGGGTTTCTTTTCCGCGGTCAACGAGCCTCTGACCTGCAAGACAGGGTTCGCACTGGAGGACAAACGTAATTGACCGTCGATCTGAGGCTGGAAAAACTGGCATCCTGCAACGTGATTGGTTTTGGAAGAAATGCTGTCAGCATGATTCGTGATGAAGAGGCAATCTTGCCTGTCATATTTTAGCTGTCAGCAGCACCACTCACACTAATGCACCCTTCGCAAAAGGCCCCTTTCTAAAGCATATGGACCTAGACAAGTGCTCTAGAGAGAGATCTGGATAATAAATGGGAGCAAAATGGGTATCTGGAAGAAACAGTATAAGGTGATGCAAAAGGTAATCACAGGCGCCTTAGTGAGCTACAGAATCGAGACACTAATCATCCTACTATAAAACAAACAAACTAACAGATCGCTTAAAAAATATGTTTCATGCTCATTAACGCCTCAGTCTTATAAAACACTGTTTCAGCAAGCATTAAGGACATGGATAAATCGCATGATACCATGACAATGCAAATGCATTATTTCAGGCAGTCCCTCATATCAGTCCACTAGACTAGGATCATGAAAATGACTCTCATTCATCCATTTCACCAGTCTAAACTGCCACGGCATCTGAATACCAAAATACCTATAATAAAATGCATCCCTCACCTTCTTGGGCCCGACTATTTTCCTGGGGCAGTTTTTGAGCATTGGTCGTTTCTTCAAAATATCTGATCCTTTTCTTACACCCAAGTCGTTGTTGGCATAATCGATGAATCGTGCTGAAGTGGAAGTAACATTGATATGCCGATGCGTGTTTAACTTGGGCACATTCGGCAACTGCTCGCAGTAACGGTAATTCATGTCGGCATCTTGCACGTCGACCAATACCAGGTCGATGTAATTATTTGTGGGCAGCCCGCTGCACTTGCCTGTCTCCGTGTCCTTTAAGGTGCCCGGCGCGTTTGTGTTACACGGAGTCCCGTTAACGGATGATTCGGAACAAGTGTTCTTCATCCAGGGCCATCTCTGAAAAGGAGGCATTCAAAAAAGGGACACAAAAGGCGAAGCAACTGCATGATGCTTAGAGAATAAATTTTTATACTTGTGGTGTACCATAAGGGACGACTGTGTAGTGAGCTGGGCAGCTTACGGGTATTCATACAAAGGCAGGTTCTTCAAAGGGAAATCACGTGGTTATCATTAAAAAGCGACCCAGTAAGATTGAGACAATAAACTCAGAAGATCTATCAGTCGAAATATACAGGGAATATTCTGATATATGGTACAGAACCCACCTGCTGAAACACGGCGCTGCTGTAGTACTTGGCTTGCATGCGGTCCCAGTAGTTGCCGGGGTCCTTGAGGCAGTTGCACACGGTGGCAGTGAGGCACGTGCACCACCCTGGCGTGAGCTCCGTGCCCTTCATCACCACGTGGGAGATGCGGTTCCTGTGGGGCAAGGGAAGGGAATGAGGTCAGTTACAGGGTGACAGGAAATGCTCATCACCACGTGGGAGATGCGGTTCCTGTGGAACAGGGGAAAGAGGGGCAAGGGACAAGGGATGGGGGACACAATGTGAGTGCCCACCAGGCGCGTGCAACAGCCTGGCGTGCCCTCCGTGCCCTTCATCACCACGTGGGAGATGCGGTTCCTGTGGGGTGGAACAAGGGCGCTTGAGAGGAGAAAACACACTCTGTGTGTGTGTGTGTGTGTGTGTGTGTGTGAGAGAGAGAGAGAGAGAGAGAGAGAGAGAGAGAGAGAGAGAGAGAGAGAGAGAGAGAGAGTACCCTTGCTTGCAGACACCCACACACTTCTGACTCACCAATTCTCATTGCAGACTCACGATTTCCCATTGCTGACTCACGATTTCCCATTGCTAACTCACCATTTCCCGTTGTTGACCTTCATGCCATCCACCATCCCGATACAAGCCCCTCCGCGTATAGTCACACCCGAGCTGGCATAGTCCAGGTAGTAGCAGTGGTCACCCCCGATAACGTAGTTGCACTCCGCCAAATTACCCGGGTTATTCCAGTGTGTTACGTAGTATATCCCCGTGGCGTCACCCCCCCCTGTCAGGTTCCGGCCCTTTGCTACAACGAGGTTGTTGGAAATTGAAGTTAGCATGCAGTCGCCCTGGGAGGGAATGGGTGGGAATGGGTGGGAGAGGGTGGGGAGAGGTTGGGGAGTGCGGTTAGGGTTTGTGGAGGTCGGGATGGTGAGTCAGGTTCCGGTTCCGGACTTTGCCACAACAAGGTTGTTGGAAATGGACGCGAGCATGCGTTCTCGGAGAATAGGCGGGAGACGTGTGCATGTGTGTGTGGCGCCAAACATAATTGAGTATCTCCACCACGAAGCTAGTCTCCACCACGAATCTAGTTCACGTCACATCTAGTTCACGTCAAATCTAGTTCACGTCACATCTAGTTCACGTCACACCTAGTTCACGTCACACCTAGTTCACGTCACACCTAGTTCACGTCACACCTAGTTCACGTCACACCTAGTTCACGTCACACCTAGTTCACGTCACACCTGATTCACGTCACATCTAGTTCACGTCACACCTAGTTCACGTCACATCTAGTTCACGTCACATCTAGTTCACGTCACATCTAGTTCACGTCACATCTAGTTCACGTCACACCTTCCTTGCACCTTCCCTGTACCATTGCATCTTCCTTGTACCTTCCCTCACCTGCAAGTGAACCATGTTGCCACACGTGATAGCAGCCCACACATAGTCATGCACGTGGTTGTTCTTGAACACTGCCCCCACCACCCCAAACTGGAACAACACTGGTAGGTAGGCGCCTGGGGAAGGAGGAGGGGAGACGGGAGGGGTGGAGAGGGGTGGAGAGGTTTGTATAATGCACAGGTAGATTGTTATTTCAGCCAACACATAGTCGTGCACGTGGTTGTTCTTGCACACCGCTCCCTCCTACCATAGATCTCATTGTTGGTGATGTAGACGTATGCGTGCACCAGCAGGGGCCCATCCCCCCAGCAGCAGAAGCACTGGTGATGTACAAGTGGCAGCAAACACGAGGTACCACACAACACCACACCACACCACACCACACACCACACCACACCACACCACACACCACACCACACCACACCACACCGCACCACACCACACCACACCGCACCACACCACACCACACCACACCACACCACACCACATACCATAGATCTCATTGTTGGTGACGTAGACGTATGCACGCACCAGCAGCGGCCCATACCCCGACAGCATCACTCGAATCACTCCGTTGCCCCTCTTGAAATCGTGCATAGCTGTCATCCTCATGCTGTCTATGCGGCTGTGCATGGTGCGAATCATGTCCACCCGGCCAAACGTGTAGCCCTGGGAAAGGGGGAGGGGAGAGAGTGGGAAGTAGAAGGGGAGATAGAAGGGGAGATAGAGGACGTGGAAAGGAAGGGTGGGGGTGGAGGCAGGAGGGGGAAGGAAGAGGGTGGTAAGGAAAGGCAGGGGAAGCAAGCATGGCTCCTTGCCCCGTCTTGCAGGCATGCACAGCTGTCATCCTCATGCACAGCTGTCATCCTCATGCCATCGTTATTAATGCTCATCGTACTCGTCGTGCTCGTCGTACTCGTCGTGCTTGTAGGCATGCACTGCACTGCTGTCATCCAGGTGACATTTGAGTCGACTCAAAAGTCACTGCACTGCTGTCATCCAGGTGACATTTGAGTCGACTCAAAAGTCACTGCACTGCTGTCATCCAGGTGACATTTGAGTCGACTCAAAAGTCACTGCACTGCTGTCATCCAGGTGACATTTGAGTCGACTCAAAAGTCACTGCACTGCTGTCATCCAGGTGACATTTGAGTCGACTCAAAAGTCACTGCACTGCTGTCATCCAGGTGACATTTGAGTCGACTCAAAAGTCACTGCACTGCTGTCATCCAGGTGACATTTGAGTCGACTCAAAAGTCACTGCACTGCTGTCATCCAGGTGACTTTTGAGTCGACTCAAAATTCACTGCACTGCTGTCATCCAGGTGACATTTGAGTCGACTCAAAAGTCACTGCACTGCTGTCATCCAGGTGACATTTGAGTCGACTCAAAAGTCACTGCACTGCTGTCATCCAGGTGACTTTTGAGTCGACTCAAAAGTCACTGCACTGCTGTCATCCAGGTGACTTTTGAGTCGACTCAAAATTCACTGCACTGCTGTCATCCAGGTGACTTTTGAGTCGACTCAAAAGTCACTGCACTGCTGTCATCCAGGTGACTTTTGAGTCGACTCAAAATTCACTGCACTGCTGTCATCCAGGTGACATTTGAGTCGACTCAAAAGTCACTGCACTGCTGTCATCCAGGTGACTTTTGAGTCGACTCAAAAGTCACTGCACTGCTGTCATCCAGGTGACATTTGAGTCGACTCAAAAGTCACTGCACTGCTGTCATCCAGGTGACATTTGAGTCGACTCAAAAGTCACTGCACTGCTGTCATCCAGGTGACTTTTGAGTCGACTCAAAAGTCACTGCACTGCTGTCATCCAGGTGACTTTTGAGTCGACTCAAAATTCACTGCACTGCTGTCATCCAGGTGACATTTGAGTCGACTCAAAAGTCACTGCACTGCTGTCATCCAGGTGACTTTTGAGTCGACTCAAAAGTCACTGCACTGCTGTCATCCAGGTGACTTTTGAGTCGACTCAAAAGGCACTGCACTGCTGTCATCCAGGTGACTTTTGAGTCGACTCAAAAGTCACTGCACTGCTGTCATCCAGGTGACATTTGAGTCGACTCAAAAGTCACTGCACTGCTGTCATCCAGGTGACATTTGAGTCGACTCAAAAGTCACTGCACTGCTGTCATCCAGGTGACTTTTGAGTCGACTCAAAAGTCACTGCACTGCTGTCATCCAGGTGACTTTTGAGTCGACTCAAAATTCACTGCACTGCTGTCATCCAGGTGACATTTGAGTCGACTCAAAAGTCACTGCACTGCTGTCATCCAGGTGACTTTTGAGTCGACTCAAAAGTCACTGCACTGCTGTCATCCAGGTGACTTTTGAGTCGACTCAAAAGGCACTGCACTGCTGTCATCCAGGTGACTTTTGAGTCGACTCAAAAGTCACTGCACTGCTGTCATCCAGGTGACATTTGAGTCGACTCAAAAGTCACTGCACTGCTGTCATCCAGGTGACATTTGAGTCGACTCAAAAGTCACTGCACTGCTGTCATCCAGGTGACTTTTGAGTCGACTCAAAATTCACTGCACTGCTGTCATCCTGGTGACTTTTGAGCCGACTCAAAAGTCACTGCACTGCTGTCATCCAGGTGACTTTTGAGTCGACTCAAAATTCACTGCACTGCTGTCATCCTGGTGACTTTTGAGTCGATTCAAAAGTCACTGCACTGCTGTCATCCAGGTGACTTTTGAGTCGACTCAAAAGTCACTGCACTGCTGTCATCCAGGTGACATTTGAGTCGACTCAAAAGTCACTGCACTGCTGTCATCCAGGTGACATTTGAGTCGACTCAAAAGGCACTGCACTGCTGTCATCCAGGTGACATTTGAGTCGACTCAAAAGTCACTGCACTGCTGTCATCCAGGTGACTTTTGAGTCGACTCAAAAGTCACTGCACTGCTGTCATCCAGGTGACTTTTGAGTCGACTCAAAATTCACTGCACTGCTGTCATCCAGGTGACATTTGAGTCGACTCAAAAGTCACTGCACTGCTGTCATCCAGGTGACTTTTGAGTCGACTCAAAAGTCACTGCACTGCTGTCATCCAGGTGACATTTGAGTCGACTCAAAAGTCACTGCACTGCTGTCATCCAGGTGACATTTGAGTCGACTCAAAAGTCACTGCACTGCTGTCATCCAGGTGACATTTGAGTCGACTCAAAAGTCACTGCACTGCTGTCATCCAGGTGACATTTGAGTCGACTCAAAAGTCACTGCACTGCTGTCATCCAGGTGACATTTGAGTCGACTCAAAAGTCACTGCACTGCTGTCATCCAGGTGACATTTGAGTCGACTCAAAAGTCACTGCACTGCTGTCATCCAGGTGACTTTTGAGTCGACTCAAAATTCACTGCACTGCTGTCATCCAGGTGACATTTGAGTCGACTCAAAAGTCACTGCACTGCTGTCATCCAGGTGACATTTGAGTCGACTCAAAAGTCACTGCACTGCTGTCATCCAGGTGACTTTTGAGTCGACTCAAAAGTCACTGCACTGCTGTCATCCAGGTGACTTTTGAGTCGACTCAAAATTCACTGCACTGCTGTCATCCTGGTGACTTTTGAGTCGACTCAAAAGTCACTGCACTGCTGTCATCCAGGTGACTTTTGAGTCGACTCAAAAGTCACTGCACTGCTGTCATCCAGGTGACATTTGAGTCGACTCAAAAGTCACTGCACTGCTGTCATCCAGGTGACATTTGAGTCGACTCAAAAGTCACTGCACTGCTGTCATCCAGGTGACATTTGAGTCGACTCAAAAGTCACTGCACTGCTGTCATCCAGGTGACATTTGAGTCGACTCAAAAGTCACTGCACTGCTGTCATCCAGGTGACTTTTGAGTCGACTCAAAAGTCACTGCACTGCTGTCATCCAGGTGACTTTTGAGTCGACTCAAAATTCACTGCACTGCTGTCATCCAGGTGACATTTGAGTCGACTCAAAAGTCACTGCACTGCTGTCATCCAGGTGACTTTTGAGTCGACTCAAAAGTCACTGCACTGCTGTCATCCAGGTGACTTTTGAGTCGACTCAAAAGGCACTGCACTGCTGTCATCCAGGTGACTTTTGAGTCGACTCAAAAGTCACTGCACTGCTGTCATCCAGGTGACATTTGAGTCGACTCAAAAGTCACTGCACTGCTGTCATCCAGGTGACATTTGAGTCGACTCAAAAGTCACTGCACTGCTGTCATCCAGGTGACTTTTGAGTCGACTCAAAATTCACTGCACTGCTGTCATCCTGGTGACTTTTGAGCCGACTCAAAAGTCACTGCACTGCTGTCATCCAGGTGACTTTTGAGTCGACTCAAAATTCACTGCACTGCTGTCATCCTGGTGACTTTTGAGTCGATTCAAAAGTCACTGCACTGCTGTCATCCAGGTGACTTTTGAGTCGACTCAAAAGTCACTGCACTGCTGTCATCCAGGTGACATTTGAGTCGACTCAAAAGTCACTGCACTGCTGTCATCCAGGTGACATTTGAGTCGACTCAAAAGGCACTGCACTGCTGTCATCCAGGTGACATTTGAGTCGACTCAAAAGTCACTGCACTGCTGTCATCCAGGTGACTTTTGAGTCGACTCAAAAGTCACTGCACTGCTGTATACCAGGTGACTTTTGAGCCGACTCAAAAGTCACTGCACTGCTGTCATCCAGGTGACTTTTGAGTCGACTCAAAAGTCACTGCACTGCTGTCATCCAGGTGACTTTTGAGTCGACTCAAAAGTCACTGCACTGCTGTCATCCAGGTGACTTTTGAGTCGACTCAAAAGTCACTGCACTGCTGTCATCCAGGTGACTTTTGAGTCGACTCAAAAGTCACTGCACTGCTGTCGTCCTTGAGTCGACTCAAAAGTCACTGCACTGCTGTCATCCAGGTGACATTTGAGTCGACTCAAAAGTCACTGCACTGCTGTCATCCAGGTGACATTTGAGTCGACTCAAAAGTCACTGCACTGCTGTCATCCAGGTGACTTTTGAGTCGACTCAAAAGTCACTGCACTGCTGTCATCCAGGTGACATTTGAGTCGACTCAAAAGTCACTGCACTGCTGTCATCCAGGTGACATTTGAGTCGACTCAAAAGTCACTGCACTGCTGTCATCCAGGTGACATTTGAGTCGACTCAAAAGTCACTGCACTGCTGTCATCCAGGTGACATTTGAGTCGACTCAAAAGTCACTGCACTGCTGTCATCCAGGTGACATTTGAGTCGACTCAAAAGTCACTGCACTGCTGTCATCCAGGTGACATTTGAGTCGACTCAAAAGTCACTGCACTGCTGTCATCCAGGTGACTTTTGAGTCGACTCAAAATTCACTGCACTGCTGTCATCCTGGTGACTTTTGAGCCGACTCAAAAGTCACTGCACTGCTGTCATCCAGGTGACTTTTGAGTCGACTCAAAATTCACTGCACTGCTGTCATCCTGGTGACTTTTGAGTCGATTCAAAAGTCACTGCACTGCTGTCATCCAGGTGACTTTTGAGTCGACTCAAAAGTCACTGCACTGCTGTCATCCAGGTGACATTTGAGTCGACTCAAAAGTCACTGCACTGCTGTCATCCAGGTG